GTTATTTTAGAAACTTAATTATTCTATATTGTTCCAACATTCTCAAAAATGCTGAAAAAAAAATGTCAATTTAAAAAAACCCAGCGTTGAATGAAATAAAACGTCATTTTCTGGCCGAGCCCCGGAGCTATCGGGCTAATATGCGCTATATTAGTCTTAGGCTTCAGTAATTGGAGTTCTGCCTACTGGGTACCAGAGCCAGAACCTGGCCCCCCTCAAAGAGGCACAGGAAGCAATGGCTTAATTGAGACCCCCTTGTATTTAGGGGTACAGTATTCCTTGTCTGCCATTGACCAGGGGTTAGGCACCCAGAAATGTAGTCTCTCAAAACAAACCCCACTTGGTAGAAATTGTAAAAACCCAAGACCAAACAGAGAAATAGAACTCCCCCAAAAGAACAAAGGAAACAAGCAGACAAGCAATTGTCATTCACCGACACCGCACCATTTGTTCGCAGTCTTCCCCTCTCCGGGAGGGGGAACCCCTGATCAACGTGCCGGCCCCTCACACCTCAGCTTGGAAGCCGAGCATCAAAAAACTAAACCACCGACCAGAGAGGGGGAAGGTGCCAGGGAGCCTCCGGGGCTCACCCAGAAAAGGGCGTTTCATTACATTCAATGCTGGTTTTCTGTGGGGAGCCCCTTCGGGTTCCTGGAGCTACATAACCACACAAGTAAAAAAAGCACAAGGCGGTTGCACCACGAGGATCAACTTTAAGACAAGACAACTGGCTGCAACTTGTAACCCAAATCCACACACTAACGACTAGGACCAGGAACGTTTACCACATAACAGGCGGCCACGACCCTGTTCGACCTCCAAAATCCCCGCGCCTGAATGTCAGCCCAGGACATGTTGCCAAACATGGCAGTCAAAGCAGCAAACTTACGAATGTCATAGGCATGAGGATAAACTGCAGGCTGGCTAGACTTAATAGCATGTGCACAGTCACAGAGGCCGAGGTGTGCAAATAACGGCACAGAGCCCAGAACCAGACAACACCAGAGCCCAACATGACCAACCAAGCATTAGTAACCCACAGACCCCTACAGAAGCCCGCCGTCTCATTCTTCGCCAGAACAGATGGCTACAACCGAACAAAACGTCCACCAGAACCAAAGGAGCAGAAACCTCTGCGCCAGAGGAGAGCATAAAGCTCACCGATTCGACCCCCAGAGGTAAATGCCAACAGAAACAGAGCCTTCTGGAGGCAACCTTGAACAGAAGAGGCCGCCACAAGACGAGGAAGAGAGAAAAACGAGCACCCTTGCCCGAGGACCAGAATGGCTCAGGAGGTGCACGAGGCAAACCACCTCCAAGCCAGAAAAAAAACAAAAAACAAAACAAGCACAACCACAACAGGAGGAACAACGAACACGGCCGCCGCGTTGGTAGGCATTCTGAGCAGCACCTCACGCCCCAAACCAGCAACACCACCACTTCCTACTCGAGGGTCAAACAAAAGCCACAAAACCCCAGCTGGCAGCTGGCCCCAAGGGCGGGGTAAATGCCGAGCAGCAGGAACCCACATGCAAGTGAAGCCCAAGAGCACCAGGGAAGGTAACCCTAGAACCCAAGGGTAGTACTCACAGAGGGCTTAGGGAAGGAAGCCCTAAGTGAATGCAGCTCTTAGTATACTATAAAACTTCTATAATACACAAACAGCAGGAAACACCACAAGGGCACACAAAATCCAGCAAGAAACTGAGGCCAGAGTCAACATTTGCCCCAGAGTGCTTCAGCCACGAACTGAGGTGTTAGGGGCCGGTGCATGGGCTCTCCCCTCCCCCTCCCAGAATGGGGGAGGGGTATAAGGACAAGCACCACAGTGTCAGTGAATGACAATTGCTTGTTTGCTTGTTTCGTTTCTTCTTTTGGGGAGTTCAATTTCTCTGTTTGGTCTTGGGTTTTTACAATTTCTACTAAGTGGAGTTTATTTTGAGATGCCTACCTTTCTGGGTGCCTAACCCCGGTCGATGGCAGACAAGGAATATAGACAAATTTAGCGCATACAAGTCCTATATCTGTGGAAAGCCCAAGGGGCTTCCCACAGATATGTCCAATGAAAATTTTTGCCTACAAAATGGGGTGGGCATAGGTCAATATTTTCTGTTATGCTGGTGATCTAGTTCTTCTCCCACTGACCAAAGCGGATATGGAACACATTATGGAAACATGTGAAAGGTATAGTACAGAAACAACCTAATATTCAATCCTGGAAATGTGCTGTGTGCGTTTTTTTTTTTTTAAATCCCAATCTAAGGTTACTAGGCAGATATATTCCAGTAACATTTTTTTGGCCCTGTACTTCAAAAGTACAGCACAAGTTTTTCAATAAAGTATTCTGAAAAGCATCTGGGGAATGTTATATCCTCAAAGGGCCCACTCATAAAATTTTCTGATGCATTTAGACCTGAAGACTAGAACAAATGTCACCATTAGTAAATTTGGTCATGATGATACCTGGTCGACAGTAAAGGTATTTACCAGTTAATGTCCAAGCTTGTATGGATGTGAACTATGGAACCTACAAAACCACTGACCTTAGTGAGCTGAACTGTGAATGGAAGAAATGCTGTAGATGCATCGTGTGCATCCGTGCTTGTACTCATGGCAACCTCCTGCCTGGCCTCACATCCACACCCACACTCGAGCAAATAATTCACTAACGAATGATATAATTTTGCCCGAAAGAAATCGTCCAGTAAACTCATTCAAATCTTGTTTCAGGCAATATTTATCTATGGCCACTTCTATTTTTTCAGAAATAAAGCTTAAGTGTTAGGAATTATAGTTTATGAATGAGTGATATAGATAATGGCATAACAAGTCTACAGGCGAGGATAACAACTCGTGCAGTTGTCCCACCTGCAGTTGTCATCTTGGGGGCAGCATCAGGTTTCTTTGGGATCTTATCCCCACTCATTTTTTCTTCGTTGTTGCTCTGATATTTGAGTGTGGTTCTATCATTCCTTTCTTGGTCGTTTCTCGATTCGCGTCGAATACTGTTGCCTCTTATAGCGTAGTGCTGACAAAGCAGCTGTTACTTGCGTTCGGTATCAGTGTGTCTCCGTAAGCTTGTTGCATGTTTAATCTGTGGCATGCACATGTGCAGCTTGAGTCCGCTTGGCATTTGGACTGTGTTCTAAGAATTTTCTTCTACACTTAGTGTCCCCTTCAGTCTGATTCTTTTTTGGTAGCTCTTTTTCCTGGCCAAGGCTTCCAGGTGTAGGATTGATGAGCCTCATGCTCTCCTCTGGAGATTGGTGTTTATTCTTTTGGTCCTGGTGGGTGTTTTGTTTGTCTGTAGCCAGTTCCAATTTGGGTGGAGAATGAATCAGGCGGCTTCCAAAGGAGCCTTTGTTGTTGTTGCTCAGATAGTTATGGGTGGGGTGCATCATGTGCTGTGTCAAGTGGCAGCTTTTGGCTTCTACCTTGGTGCCATCACTTCTGCCTCGGTGAATGCTTTGTGGGTCAATCTTGTTTCCTTGGTTTCCTCCTCCCTGGTTTTTGTTTTTCTTCTCCATGGGCAGTTAGCTTCAAAGAGCCACAAGGAACTTCCCCCAGAAAACTAGAGTTAAATGTAATGAAATGCCAATTTCTGGGCGAGCCCGATGGTTCCCCCTATTTCCCCTCCCTTCTGGGTCGACTGTTGGGTTTGTTTTAAGTGAGCATCTGCTCCACAACTGACTGAGCCAGTGCAGAGAATGAGCCCAGGTCCAACCTCCAACTTCCCTCACCAAACAAGTGACAGGGGAGGGGCAAACAAGTACACTTGTTTCGAGAGATGCACGGAATCTCCAAGCTTTGGAGCTTTACCAAGCTTTACCAAACTTGGTTTGGTAAACCAAACCAATTTGGTTTACATTGTTGGAAAGAGCTCATTCGGCAGGTTGTAAGGCTTTGGTATCTTTTGAACCCAGCAATGGTTTGTATTGGTTCACTTTCTATATGCCTTGTGTGGCGAGGTGGTGGAATGTCCCCTGCACCTCTAGTTAGGGGGCCAGGTTCTGGCTCTGGCTCAAGGTAGGTCGAACCAAAATTATGTGATCCAGTGGTTAAGGCCATCTCGGCAAGAAGGCTTCAGAGAGCCACTGGGGCTCACCCAGAAACTGGCGTTTCATTACATTCAGCGCCGATTCCTTGTCCTCGGGTAGCTCAGTTTCCTCGCGTTATGTTGGACTTACAGTTCATCTAGATCTATGCTAATACATTATTTATTGCTATCCTCTACCAGTGTTCTTTTGTGTACCTGTGTTTCTATGTACAACATACTGGAGTGAACGATATGGAAGAAAATGCAGAATGGAACCAGTGAAGAGCAGGGGTGCCATAGGCACAATCAGAGAACACTGTATAAACATCAGAGGTCCACGGTTGTTCAACACCATCCCGGCAAGCATAAGAAATATTGCCGGAACAACCGTGGACATCTTCAAGAGGAAACTAGATTTATTCCTCCAAGGAGTGCCGGACCAACCGAGCTGTGGTGGGTATGTGGGCCTGCGGGCCATGCCAAGCAACAGCCTAGTGGACCAAACTCTCATAGGTCAAGCCTGGCCTCAGGCCGGGCTTGGGGGGGGGGGGGGGGGGGGGTGTAGAAGAACTCCCAGAACCCCATTATCCAGTTATGTCCACACAGTGGGGCACTTTTTACTTTTGTTTCAAATTTGAAATTTCTTAGCATGCAATCACAAGGGTTTTTCTATCCTCTATAATAGAAATATTTCCTCTTAAATTTTTTTGGAATTATGATATTTAAAGTGTGCAATTGCAGAACATAATTGACAATATAGTGGGGAACTAAAGTAATTTTTACACATTATACAAGATTACGATGTACCAGAGATCATTCAATTTAACGATTAAAGATGGTATTCTTTAGTTTGCTAACAACTGCTATTTGGCAGTGTATGGCAGTGGTTAGAAGGGCGCCGGCACAGCTACGGCACTTGTGCTACCCTGCTGCCTAGTGATGATAATTAATGATGAAAACAAGATGATTTTTATATTTTTATTACAGATCTAAAGCAAAATCTTGATAAACATTAAGAATATAAAGTACAAAAAAAAAGGATTATTCCCTCGGAAAAAGGCCATACAATAGTGTTTTATTAATGGTAAACAAAGGAAATTTAAGTAAGGTTAAGAGTAGTTCACTATATGGATGGTTGATTTTTTGTGAGAACAGTAGTGAAGTACATTACTGTATTGGATGAAGACTAAATATTGTACTAGTATATGATCTCAAAATGGGCAAATGTTTCTTTTCTATACTGTATATATATATACTGGATAAAGCTTACATATAAAAAATATTTGACAAAGTGTGTATTGGCACTGGCATTTATAACTAAGTTGGGAGAAAACTGCTGAACCTTTTAGACTGGACTTATTCTTGCCTTTGGAGAAAAAGGCAAGGAATTAAAAAAGGCCTTTACAAGCAGTGAAATCCCAGTTGTGTTGAAGAACCACAATAATGATGAGCAAATATATCTAAGACAATACAGTAGAGAGAGAGACCTTACAGGTGCTACACTCTGCAGGGTAGACTCTGTATGAGAGCATCGACAGCCTTCACCATCCTCAGCAACTGTCGTGGACCCGGACTCACTCTCGCCATCTCTTCTTCCACGGTCTGCCGGCTACACAATACAACATATGAGTACACTGTCCCCGTACATACAAACTATAGTTGGAACTATGAACTATACAAATACTCGTGCATCTGAGCGGCGTCTTAAGTCCTCATTATTATGTCCCAATTACAAACAGGGAGGGTTACTCCCCCCGCTCCCCCGACACACTGAAACACACACACACAGTAGTACTGTAACTCACTAATACAAATCCCAGAAACCCAAATCTTTGGGTAATCTGAATAAATCCGAGTTTAGAGTTTTTGTAACGAATCCAAAAGATGGCCACGATCAGGAAGAGAAAACGTGACACGAGGGAAAATAAATGGAATTGTATACCACAAACATATAAAGGTACAAATGGCAGAGGAACAAACTCTTGACCGAAAAAGGAGAGGAACAAATGGAGCACGATTCTGGATCAAGTGATCAACAAAGTTACAAGTCCCTGCAAGAGCTGGAGGGAATGAAAGAAAGGCATAGCCGCGAAGTGAACAAAACGACCAGTTATGTCAGCAACTGTGACAGCCACAAAGCGGGAGAAACCGAGATACCAGAAGATAGTTCAGGAAAATCGGCAAAGAAACTATGAATATTCCATTGAAGAATAGACATAGTATAGAACAATGGTAAAAAAAAAAAAAAACGAATAAAAATAAAAGAAAACCTAAGGCAAAGGACGGGAAAATAGGGAGGGCTAGGAGTAGGTGCAGTGAAGCCAGGTGTTACGGGCCTGCCCATACATGTTCCTGGCATTTCTAGGTCTTGTTCAGTCATGCCTAAAATGTTTATACTCTTCATACATTTCCCCGAGTTCTTGAGTTACAACTTTAAATTTGGTGGAAAGAAGTTTGCAAATAAATTTGCTAATGTAGGCCAGGCATGGCAGGATGTGCAAAAAAAGACCCACTTAAGAGCAGAGGTGCAATAGGTACACTGAGGGAGAACTTTATCAACATTAAAGGCCCAAGACTTTTCACCCCCCCCCCCCTCCCCACACACACATAAGAGGCCTAATTGGCCGACCTCTCGCAATGTTCAAGAGAGAACTTGACAAGCACCTTCAAAGGATACCTGATCAACCAGGCTGTGACTTGTGTCACGCTGCGAGCAGTTGCACCAAACAGTGTGGTGGATTAGATCAGCAACCAGGGAGGCCAAATTCACGAAGCAGTTACGCAAGTACTTACGAACGTGTACATCTTTCCTCGATCTTTGACGGCTTTGGTTACATTTATTAAACAGTTTACAAGCATGAAAACTTGCCAATCAACTGTTGTTATTGTTATAAACAGCCTCCTGGTGCTTCAGAGCTCGTTAACTGTTTAATAATTGTAAACAAAGTCGCTAAATATTGAGGAAGGATGTTCACGTTTGTAAGTAAACGTAACTGCTTCGTGACTGTGGCTGCAGGAGGCCTACCTACCTTGAGGCTACCTTGAGGTGCTTCCGGGGCTTAGTGTCCCCGCGGCCCGGTCGTCGACCAGGCCTCCTGGTTGCTGGACTGATCAACCAGGCTGTTAGACGCGGCTGCTCGCAGCCTGACGTATGAGTCACAGCCTGGTTGATCAGGTATCCTTTGGAGGTGCTTATCCAGTTCTCTCTTGAACACTGTGAGGGGTTTGCCAGTTATGCCCCTTATGTGTAGTGGCATAACTGGCAAACCCCTCACAGTGTTCTGTGAGGGGCCTGAGGGGCCTGCTCAGAGACCGGGCTATAGGGGACACTGATCACTGGAACCTTCAACAGGTAAGAAGGCAAGTGTATAGATGCCTTACAAAATGTGTTTTTATAATACATATATTCAGTACTGTAATGCATAATGTATTTTAAAAAAATTCTCTATTTTTCCACACAGATAAGAATAAAAAGCATGGAAATGTGCACAGATCATCAGTATTTAACATATATATGACAGCAAGGAAAAAACAAACCCAACTCATACTTTTCTAGCAAGTAATTTGCAAAGAATAGTGAAAATATTCAAAACACGAGCAATTATAGTTTCAAGTGGTAAGGAGTTGGCCGATGTCATCTCTAAACGGTCCTCTGATCAGCTATGCTCCCTCAAAAAACACCAATACAAATTTTGGTAATTTCAAGACAGATGATGCATTTTAGCATTAGAACATTTACTGCTGGAGTATGGATATTGTGTCTTAGCAACACCGCACCACTAAACTGGTAATTACACCTTAATCACCAGTAGAGTACGTCATTAGGAAATTTTGTAAAAAGTGAAAATATGAAGATGAAGGAATTTGAGGTTTCAAAAGTCAGTTGTGATTTTCTTGTGTCAAAATGAATGGGTTCAAGTGTACTGACAATGGTAATAACTGACCTGAGATTACCAGCCTTGATGGTAGCCGAGGGATGGAGCGTGTAGGGCTGGTCTAGGGTGGGTTGTGGTGGCTCTAAGCGGATTACCACATCCATCCTAACGTGGGCTTCATACTTGAACAGAGTCACCTTTACACTGAAAATTGTGCGAAAAATAACTTGTGCACATGTACTGCATATAACACAAGGATATTATTAGTATACCAACCCATCCTCCAGAAGTGATGGCATCACCTATTGACTCCAACGTACAAAAATGAACTGTTGAAATATTCACATTATGTGAACTTTGTAACAGAACATTGTAAATGTTTGGTAGAGGGCTTGGCAAAAAAAGAAAAAAGAAAAAAAAAAAAAAAATATTACCAAGAACCATGGTATCCTAGGCCTAGTAACGGACATATATAATGTACTAAATTCATCCAATAGTCAGTTTTTGCACATTTGACCAAAGAGTTGCGGCAAGTAATATAATTTTGGAGGTTGGACTGTAATATGCATAGATGTACAAAAGCTTACAAAACACTGATCTGGCAAAGGATTACAATCATTCCCCAACAAGAGGCCTTGCTTGCTGAGGAGTAAAAACCAACAAACCGCCCGAGAGCGATGGTTCGTTGGTTCTCTCTTTCTCTCTCTCTCTCAAGCCTCTCGATGATTCAAGAGGAGTCCGCCCAGGAGACGAAGCCTCAACCCCCAGGGAAGAGAACCTTGGTAGAGTAAAAACACAAAACAGACCTCAGGGAAGATAACAACTCCACAACAGCAGTAAAATACAGGACACATACTAGTTTCAGAGTACTTAGTAGTTTCAAAGTGTTATATGACAGTACTGGGAAGACGGGACACCACGAGCGTAGCTCTCATCCAGTAACTACACTTAGGTATTTACACTATTAATAGCAATAATGAGTAAATAGGGACCAGTGTGTATATAAACACATTGCATCGCACGCAAAAAATTTGCTTCCGAGCGTGGCTTTCCGAATGCGCTGGGATGACACCGCGGTAATTAGAAAACTTTGCTTTATCCTCATGTTTTAATAGAACTCAATAACTCAATATACAATGGTACCTCGAGTTACGAGCCCGATTTGTTCGGAAAATTTGATACGCATATGGCCGACCTAGCATGTGGTGGCACGGCGATCGCACCTCAGTTTAACCCTCAAACCGCTAGGGGCCCAAATGGAATTCACACCCACAGGCACGCGCAAAAAAAATTCTTTTGTCTTATAGAAGTGTTCATTTTTGTTCCCTGATCACGGAAAAAATAACAAAAATTGTAGGTGGCATATTTTAGCCGCAATAGGGTAGGGAAGTGTGGCAAAAAAGGGACGTTGGCAGAGCCTTCGCCAGACGAGGTCTACTCCGCCCGAGCTGTCAGATGGCAGTTGCCACAAATATATTATTACCTAATTATTTCAATGTCTGATTTTTTCTTAGCTTTTTTTTGCAGTAATATTATTCCATACAGTGAATTGTGGTATATTTATATAATAAAATGTGTGAACCATCGCTGTACTGAAAATTATGGTGTGCATATTAGTGATTCAATTATTATGTCCATAAAACAATAAACAAATAATTTTGCTGTTGTTACACTATATACACAGGTTATATATAAGTATCTACATGTTTTGTTCACCACAACGAACTACTAAGTTGGTCCTGTGAGTCAAAAAGCAACGAGGAGTGATCGCCAAACACCAGAGAGCCACTAACTGCCACTCCCTCCCTCAACACCACCTCACTCACCCTCATTCTCCTCCCACAATACTGTTTTTGCATTTATTCACTATACACAGACGTTATATATACGTATTTACATGTTTTGCTCACTGTAACTGAACATCTAGGCTTGTATGGTGAGTAAAGGCACAAAGACGCAGCTACTCACACAGTCAGCTGATTGGCGGCCGCCCTCAAGGCCAGACGCACTAATATTTCTCCTCCAACAATATTGTTTGTGGTGTTATTACGCTATATACACACATTATATATAAATATCTACCCGTTTTATTCACCATACCTGTACAAATAAGCTGGTATGGTGCCCAAAGACCATAGTGGCCATCAGTAAACAACATGCCAAGTCGTGCAGACGACGCTCCTCCCTCACCCAAATGGCGGCTCCCAACCTACTCCTCTCGCTGTTATCTCACACTATACACACGTTATATACAAGTATCTACATCTGTGTTCACCATAGCGAACCACTAAGCTGGTATGGTGAGTGCAGTCAATAAATGGTGGCCACACACAGTCAGAAGACGACGCCACAACCCTCCCTCCACAGCCTTACTCCTCCCTCTGTGGAGCACAGTGCTAAATATCACCACAATCCTGCTATTATCAGAATCCTGGTCAGTTTTATCACAGTCAGGGGGCTTCAGTAATACTATCACTGCTAAATAATAGCAGTATCATATATATTATGGTGTTTGTAGGCGATGCTGTGGTCACAAGCTGAACAGCGGTGCTGTGAGCTTGTGCTGCGTGCGCCAGCCTTGGTGGCTTGCTCAATACTGACACTTAACACCCGAGAATGTTAGCCTGGATTTTTTTTCTAGGTGGCATCTGGCAACTATCGGTCGTGGCTGTACTATAGCTGCCCCTATCCCAGGCGAGGCGTTTAAATTATAGCGCTAGACACGAAATCATATATAAATGATGTGCACGGTTTCAGTTTTGTCACTGATATCATTTATATACGATATGCACGATTTGAGGGTTAACAGTGCCTCGCGCCCAGTGACTATCCCGCCTGAATTCTTCACAAGAATTTACAGTTTTTGGTCAAATTTTTGGCCATTTGAGCATAAAAGTTGTTATATATCTTGCCATGGGGCCCAAGAAAGCCAGTGGTAAGGTTCAAGGCAAAAAATCGCATGCGAGAATGACAATAGAGGACAAACAAGTGATCATTCGTAAGTATGAAAATGGAACTCGTGTTGTCAAACTAGCTAGGCAGTACAACAAATCTATGTCAACGATATGCACTACTTGCCAAGAAAAAGGACATTAAGAGTGCTAAAGTGGCAAAAGGCGTATCAACAATCACGAAACAAAGACCACAAATAATTGAGGATGTGGAAAAGTTGTTGTTAATATGGACACACAACAAGGAGTTAGCGGGTGATAGTGTTTTAGAGGCCATCATTTGTGAGAAAGCCAGGGTATTGCACGAAGACCTTGTAAAGAAAACCCCTCGAACGAGTGCAGATATGAAAGACTAAGGCAAGCAGGGAATGGTTTGTCAAATTTAGAAAAAGAAGTGGTAGCAATAGTGTTGCAAGGCATGGGGAGGCTGCCAGCTCAGACAAACCAGAGGCTGAAAGGTTTATTGAAGAATTTAAAGTTTGCAGAGGCTGAGGGATACCTACCACAACAAGTCTTTAATTGTGATGAGACAGGACTGTTCTGGAAAAGATTGCCTAAGAGAACATACATTACCAAGGAGGAAAAATCATTGCCCAGACACAAGCCTATGAAAGATAGGTTTACACTTGTGCCGTGTGGAAATGCGGGTGGCGATTTGAAAATTAAACCCTTGCTTGTGTATCATTCTGAAAATCCAAGGGTTTTCAAACAGTATAAAGTGCAGAAAAATAAAATGTGTGTTATGTGGAGGGCTAATAATAAGGCATGGGTGACCGATTTTTTTTATGAAGTTGGTGAATTATGATGTGTGCCCTGCCATAGAAAAATATCTGCAGGAGAAACATTTACCACTCAAGGTCCTGCTTCTCCTCGACAATGCTCCTGCTCATCCTCCAGGCTTGGAAGATGAATTATTGCAGATACATTAATTTTCTCACAGTAAAATGAGAAAAGTGAGTTCCTCCTAATACCATTCCTCTAATTCAAACTATGGACCAGAAAATCATTGCAAATTTTAAGAAACTATGAAAGGGCACTTTTCTGGAAATATTTTGAAGTGACTGAAGCCACAAAACTCACCCTCGAAGAGTTCTGGAAAGGCCATTTTAACATTTGTAATGCTTTAAAACTCTTTGACAAAGCCTGGCAAGAAGTGACTCAAAGAACCCTGGTCTCTGGCTGGAGAAAATTGTGGCCTGAATGTGTGACAGAACTAGATTTTTGAGGGATTTGAGCCTGTAAATGATGTGCCTATTGTTGAGGAAATTGTTACTCTGGGCCGGAGAATGGGCTTGGAATTGGATGGCGCTGATGAGTTGGTGGAAAAACACAACGAAGAACTGACCACCGAAGAACTCCAAGCTCTTCAAAAGGAACAGCAAGAAGACCCAGCTGAGGAAATTTTCTTCAGTGGAGGATGAGGCAGTAGAGAATGTCCCTTCCTCAACAATTAGGAAGTGGTGTCAGATGTGGGAAGAAATGCAAACTTTTATTGAAACGACTCACCCAGAGAAAGCTGTAGTAGGTCGTTGCATTAATCTTTTCAATGACAATGTGATGCCTCACTACAGACAAATGTTTAAGAGGAGGGAAAAACAATCTTCAATGGATCTTTTCGTTGTGAGAAAATCAAGCAGTGAGCCACAATCGGAACCTAGTGGTATGCAGGCAAAACATGCCCGAGTGCACTCCAGAAAAATCTTTACTGCCTGATGTTATAATGGAAGGGGACTCCCCTTCCAAACAATAACACCTCTCCTCCTCCTCCCCATCTTCCATATGCCAACAGCAGTCATCAGCAAGGGTAAGTAATCAACCAAATTGAGAGGAATTCCTAAAACTGGCAACCTCAAGAACAAGAGGTCATTGATTCAAGATAAGGCAACAAAGGTGCCAAAAAAATATTACAGTTTTCTTTTGTAAACAGAGTGGTAGACGGTTGGAACACGCAAGTGAGAATGTGGTAGAGGCCAAAAACGTTACAATGACAACTTCTCCCCCCCCCCTTCCCCATCACCAGGCTAAAGACCTCAACCTCCAAGGCAGGAGCCAATACACAAGTATCTTACCTTGCAGTTACCTTAAATGGGTTCCAAGGATCAACATCCCTGTCAGAGACCAGGCCCCCCGGTTGGTGGTCTAGTCAACAGACTGAATGACATGCTTGCTCATCCTAAAACATGAATCACAGCCTCATTGATCAGGTATCCTTTGGGGGTGTTTATCAAGTTCTCTTTTGAACACAGAGGTCAGCCAGTTATGCCCTTTATGTTCAGAGTGCGTGTTTAAAAGACTTGGGCCTTTGATGTTGAACGCGTTCTCTCTCATACCATGACAATGAAAATCACAAGTCACCGGAGCAGAGTTAATCTAGCTACAGGTGGTATGTCAGAGGTATAATTGGGCCATCTGAATATAAGACCGATGGCCGACCTACAAACCTGCAACTCGGCGAGTCCAGAATTGGAGGGCCAGCCAAGCAGGCCCCACAAGATCATGTTGCCCTCAGGAGAGACCGACAACGCTCCTCTTAACTGTAGGAGATTTTAACACTATCACGCCCTGAGAATGTGCGCCGCCAACTTAAGAGGTCACGCCCCCAACGTGCGGGCAAGCGTGCGGCGACACAAATGCGTATACTCGTTTCAGTTTTCTCAGCTTAATTCTCATGCTATGTTGTTCGTTTTGGTATCATTGTGTTCGCAATTAAATTGCCTACAGGTGTACAGTATATGTACATAATGTACAAAAGCCCGGCGTGATTCCCCCGCAGGAAAGCCTAAAGTTACTCGTAAACGAGCACCAATTGGCACACTGCAACCTAATGTGTATACTCGTTCAGTTTGACAACATCAATTTTCGTGTTACGTCTTTCATTTTGGCATCAAATTGTTTGCAATAAAAAGGCCCATGTTTTAAAACTAGAGTGGTACCTCGGAATACGAGTGTCCCTGAATACAAGTAGTATTTGCTCGGAAAATGTGCCTCGGAAGGCGAGTTTGTTGATACACGTACAGGCCGACCTAGCGCGTGGTGGTACGGCGATCTTCACCCCCTCAGTTTACCAGTGCCTCGCGCCCAGTGACTATCCCACGTCATTTCTTCACCGGATTTTCAGTGTTTTGTTGGATTTTTGGTAATTTGACCATAAAAGTTGTTATTATATATCTCGCCTTGGGTCCCAAGAAAGAAAAGGTAAGGTTTAATCTAAGAAAATAGTGCTGTGTTTTGGGCGATCAAGTGACAACACTGAAAAGTGTATACTCTTTTTCATTGTCCTCACATTAATTTTCGATGTACGCATTTCATTTTTGTACCAATGTGTTCGCAATAGAATGTTCTAGAAGAACACAAATATAAAATGTCGCACAAGGATGCATTAGACCGGCAACAAATAAAAAACTACGTCGATTACACTTGTCGTGTCAACAATACAATGGTCTTACCTCGATGGTGCAATGCTATGCCGTTCTCCCAAATAGGCTATGCGGCTATTAGAGAAAACGGAAATTTCATGGTGGACATTTTCAAACTATCCCAAAGTCGATCGCATAACAAGCAGTTTATAGAAATACTTTTTCTCGTGACTCGTGAGCGAGTCCGCTGTGCAACCAACACAAAAAGTGGTAACGCTCTCGAGCGCCGTGATAACGCTAAAGTGTTAAGAAAATGTGTGAAGTGTGGGAAGAATTGCAAAGTTTTGTTGAAAAAACTCGCCCAGATTAAGCTGTAGCAGGCCGTTGCATTAACCTTTTAAATGACTATGTGATGTCTTACTACAGGCAAGTGTTAAAATGTAGGGAAAAGCAAGTGTCTTTAACCCTCAAACCACGCATATCATATATAAATGATATCAGTTACAAAACCGAAACCGCGCACATCATTTATATATGATTTCGTGTCTAGCGCTATAATTTAAACTCCCCGCCTGGGATAGGGGCAGCTATAGTACAGCCACGACCGATAGTTGCCAGATGCCACCTAGAAAAAAAATCCAGGCCAACATTCTTGGGTGTTACAGCGTCAGTATTGAGCATGCCACCAAGGCTGGTGCACGCAGCACGAGCTCACAGCACCGCTGTTCAGCTTGTGACCACAGCATCGCCTACAAATACCATAATATATATGATACTGCTATTATTTAGCAGTGATAGTATTACTGAAGCCCCCTGACTGTGATAAAACTGACCAGGATTCTGATAATAGCAGGATTGTGGTGATATTTAGCGCTGTGCTCCATGGAGGGAGGCGTAAGGCTGTGCGAGGGAGGGTTGTGGTGTCTTCTGACTGTGTGGCCACCATTTATTGACTGCACTCACCATACCAGCTTAGTGGTTCGATATGGTGAACACAAATGTAGATACTTATATATAACGTGTGTATAGAGTGTGATAACAGCGAGAGGAGTAGGTTGGGAGCCGCCATTTTGGTGAGGGAAGAGCGTCGTCTGCACGTCTTAGCATGGCGTTTACTGATGGCCACTATGGTCTTTGGGCACCATACCAGCTTATTTGTTCAGGAATGGCGAATAAAACAGGTAGATACTTATGTATAATGTGTATATAGCGTAATAACATCACAAACAATATTGTTGAAGGACAAATATTAGTGCGTCTGGCCTTGAGGGCGGCCGCCGATCAGCTGACTGTGTGAATAGCTACGTCTTTGTGGCCTTTACTCACCATACAAGCTTAGATGTACAGTTATGGTGAACAAAACATGTAAATACGTATATATAACGTCGGTGTATAGTGAATAAATACAGAAAGAGTATTGTAGGAGGTGAATGAGGGTGAGTGAGGTGGTGTTGAGGGAGGGAGTGGCAGTGAGTGGCTCGCTGGTGTTTGGCGGTCACTCCTCGTTGCTTTTTGACGCACAAGACCAACTTAGTAGTTCGTTATGGTGTACAAAACATGCAAATACTTATATATAACCTGTGTATATAGTGTAACAACAGCAAAACTATTTGTTTATTGTTTTATGAACATAATAATTGAATCACTAATATGCACACCATAATTTTGAGTACAGCGATGGTTCACACATTTTATAATATAAATATACCACAATTCACTGTATGGAATAATATTACTGCAAAAAAAAACTAAGAAAAAATCAATCGGAGACATTGAAATAATTAGGTAATAATATATTTGTGGCAACTGCCGTCTGACAGCTCGGGCGGAGTAGACCTCATCTGGTGAAGGCTCTGCCAACGCCCCCTTTTTGCCACACTTCCCTACCCTATTGCGGCTAAAATATGCCACCTACGATTTTTTTGTTATTTTTTCCGTGATCAGGGAACAAAAATGAACACTTCTATAAGACGAAAGAATTTTTTTGGAATTTTTTTTTTGTTGCGTCTGTGGGTGTTAATTCCATTTGGGCCCCTAGCGGTTTGAGGGTTAAACAGATTCTTAGTAAGACAAGCAAGTCTTAGTGGTATGCAGGCAAAATGTGCCAGAGAGTGCACACCAGTGAAGTCCTTACTGCCTGATGTTATAATGGAAGGGGACACCCCTTCCAAACAGTAACACATCTTCTCCTCCCTCCTCCTCACCATCTTCCATACGCCTACAGCATTCATCAACAAGGGCAATTAATAACTTGAACATAGATTTTAGGTTTATTTAGATGAATTAAGTATAAAATTTAGTTTGAAGTGAGGTTTTTGGAGTAGTCAGGAACGGATTAATTCATTTCCCATTATTTCTTATGGGGAAATTGGCTTCGGAATACGAGTTTTCAGAATACGACCTGTCTCCAGGAACGGATTAAACTCTTAAACTGAGGTACCACTGTAGTCCCATAATAATAGAGCAATAACTTTAATTTTAACAAATATTTTAATTCTGGAAGCTCATCACAAAATTATTTATATCTTTCCAGTGTTCCAACAAATTTGTGTTACATCTTTCATTTTGGTATCAAATTGTTCGCAATGTAAAGGCGCGCATTTTAAAACTAGTCCCAACATAATAGCACAATAAATAGAATGTTAACAAATACTTTAAAATTTTGAACAAAAACGTATTCATAATCTTTCAAGTGTTCGGACACCAAGTTTCACGTTACACCGTTCATTTTGGTATCAAATTGTGCGCAATCTAAAGGCACTTATTTTGAAACTATCCCGAGGTCGATCATAAAAAATGAATTTTAGACAAATATTTTTAGATTGGGTACGAGTCCTGGGCTAGGACACTAGAGAAAAAAGTGGACGTGATCAGTGTTCAAAGCGAGCGATAGTGTTAGTGTTCCTTATCATATTCAAAATTCCTAAAGATTCTATGGAGACATCGTTTAACACTAGAGACCTCCTTCCTGGGCATTACAAGAAGTATCACTTATCCAGGTGCATCACCATCCATTTACTAATGCAACGGTAAAAACCATTCACTATGCTACATTTCAAGGACTTTTCAATGCCATATTGTGCCTCTATAGAGGAAAGGGAGCCAGGTTGTGCCCCTATAGAGGAGGGGCCAGGTTTTGGCCTTGTGATCCTTGGTAGGCTTACAATGACTCGCAAGGGTCTGACAAGGGCCTGGGTATGGACTTAAGTTGATGGAGGTATCCAAGAAGCCACAAGGAATCGTCCTGGGAGCTCTCCCTGATAAACATCCCTGAACTGGGCTTTCTATGTTTTGGCATAAATGTCTGGCTATAAATGTTTTGGGCGACATAGTTCCAGATATAGTATACATAATTATAAATTTCAAAATATTTATATGCAAGTTGCACAAATACAGTTACGCAGTTAATGTTTTATACCTGTCTGGCAGGAAAGAGGTTAAGTATGATGCTGCCAGTAGTTGAAGTTCAATGATGAGGTTGAAGCTGTGCTGGAAAGCGGCAGAGATGTCGGCCAGAGCATCACCCATCTCGCACAAGGTCAGGCCACACAGCTTGGGCACGGCAGCTGCCACGTAACAGCCCACCGTGCTCAACGCTAGCTTCCCACATGCATTTTTCATCTCTGCAAAAAGTATAACACATCAATTCTCTTATTGAAGGGCTGAAATTTTCCATTCTAATATATATGATAGTTTTTTTTTCAAGTAAGCACTTGCTTAGAAACCTAGTTTAGCTTAATCAAGCCAATTATTTGGCAGTGTGTATAGAGATTTCTCTATAATGCCTAACAAAGGTAAAATTAGACCTAATAAGTTACAAATTCAGTCAATATAGTAATACTGTAAGGAGTGACTAACAACTTTTTGAAAAGATGCAGTATTTTTAGTCAGTTTGCTTTGCTGTTAATCAAAAAGAGGCCTTGGTTAGTACACTTGGTACTCTACTGTAACGAGGTAAAACAATGCCAACCCTGAAAGGGCCAGTGCGAACCCAGAGACACGCCATCATTCCAAGACACACACGTATGTGTCTTATGAAGATGAACCAGGTGATGGTAACTCAATGTCCTCTTGAGACTCCTACAAGGCCCAACCCCAGCAGGTGTGGCTCCAGACGATAACTGGACTTTCAAGGGTAAAAAGTCTTTCAAGATAATGGACTTACTGGATGGCTGTGGACTCCAGTTGGCAGTGTTGACAGTCAGATGCTTGCCAAAGTGTAGCACAGTAAGACTCAACTCCAGAGGGCTGTGTTGCAGCTTCAGACGTCTCTCGTCCTGTGGTGCGTCCATCATTATCCATGGATCTCCCCTGCAAACCCCATGTCAACCATTATACATAGACACACAAGTACTAGTGCTGCAACAAATCAGAATACTGCAACATTGGAGAGAAACATGATCAACTGACCTGGGCGGGCAGAGGAGGGAGCCAGGAAGGAGGCAGCACCCACCATCACACTGCTGCTGCTGCTGCCTCACCTCAACTGCATCACTTGTTGCCTCATTCATAGATGGGGAGGCAGAGCACTCTCCAACTTCCGCTTCGTCAATGTCATCTTGTTTCCGACGCTCTTCCATTTGGATGCACAGTGCCGACTTGTCCACTGGACGAGATAAACTGCTGGTTTCGGTGAGAGGCATGTGCAATTCACTTGCTAAGCTTGATCCCTCACATGTTCCAGTTAATGAAATATTGTCAGTAAGCAAGCTTAGCCTACTTGCAAAACTTTGCTGTTCAACACTAACAGATCCCACTGAATAAGAGCTGTGATTCAAGTTCGAGGTCGACAACACTGACATTTCTCCTTGTTCTGCCTCTGATGTGCTAGCAATGCAGTTTTGGGTTTGCAATGATGACTCTGGTAGGTATTGCTCTGTATTGCAGCCTTCTGGCTGACTTATTGACAAGTTAGTGAGTTTATTTAAAAGTGGGAAGGAATGACTCAACATTGAATCTTGAAGTTCATAAATATCAGATTGACTCGTCTCCATCTTATCAGCTAGTTCTATAACAGACGATATCAACGGCTCCAATTCGTCAACATAATCGGCCAACGACTTTCGACGGCTTAGTTTCAAGTCGTGAACTCCTTTGGAATGTATCGTGTTTGGAGTTGGCCGCGGCGGGGACTTCTGGGCCGCGGCCGGGGGCGAGGACACGCTCTCTGTGCTATTGTCTGCCACACTCACAAGTGAAACATTGATATCATCAAGTATTTCCTCGGTACAGTTATCTTCATCTTTATCTGACCCTGACTCCCTTAACCCGTATGCTGTATTGTCTAGCGAGGGCTCAGCGAGGGCTAGCGATGGGGCGGAGGGGTTATGGACAGTGTGGGATGGGGTGGTGGGGTTATGGACACTGTGGGATGGGGTGGAGGGGTTATGGACACTGTGGGATGGGGTAGTGGGGTTATGGGCACTGTGGGATGGGGTGGAGGGGTTATGGACACTGTGGGATGGGGTAGTGGGGTTATGGGCATTGTGGGATGGGGTGGTGGGGTTATGGACACTGTGGGATGGGGTGGTGGGGTTATGGGCACTGTGGGATGGGGTGGTGGGGTTATGGACACTGTGGGATGGGGTGGTGGGGTTATGGACACTGTGGGATGGGGTGGTGGGGTTATGGACAGTGTGGGATGGGGTGGTGGGGTTATGGACAGTGTGGGATGGGGTGGTGGGGTTATGGACACTGTGGGATGGGGTGGTGCGGTTATGGACACTGTGGGATGGGGTAGTGGGGTTATGGGCACTGTGGGATGGGGTGGAGGGGCTATGGACACTGTGGGATGGGGTGGTGGGGTTATGGGCACTGTGGGATGGGGTGGTGGGGTTATGGGCACTGTGGGATGGGGTGGAGGGGTTATGGACAGTATGGAATGGGGTGGTGGGGTTATGGACACTGTGGGATGGGGTGGTGGGGTTATGGACACTGTGGGATGCGGTGGAGGGGTTATGGACACTGTGGGATGGGGTAGTGGGGTTATGGGCACTGTGGGATGGGGTGGAGGGGCTATGGACACTGTGGGATGGGGTGGTGGGGTTATGGGCACTGTGGGATGGGGTGGAGGGGTTATGGACAGTCTGGGATGGGGTGGTGGGGTTATGGACACTGTGGGATGGGGTGGTGGGGTTATGGACACTGTGGGATGGGGTGGTGGGGTTATGGACACTGTGGGATGGGGTGGTGGGGTTATGGACACTGTGGGATGGGGTGGTGGGGTTATGGACACTGTGGGATGGGGTGGTGGGGTTATGGACACTGTGGGATGGGGTGGTGGGGTTATGGACACTGTGGGATGGGGTGGTGGGGTTATGGACACTGTGGGATGGGGTGGTGGGGTTATGGACACTGTGGGATGGGGTGGTGGGGTTATGGACACTGTGGGACAAGGATACAGAGAGAGGATTAGACAGAAATGGAAACGAGGTAGAGACGCCAGACTGTGCCGATGACAGATCAACACCGGAGTCGGGAAAGCAGCCAACATCTGAAGAATACACACTGCACACCTGGCCAATGGCAGCTGGTGTGTGGGTGTCCTTTGTAGAGGCCTTGAACTTCTTAAATTCAGGTTCAAGAGACATCCGAATAGCGTTCTCCTCAAGATCACTCGGTGCACTCTCTGAATCGCACACTCTTTTGCTGCTGTCACCTTCCTTGTGGTTAAAGCTGGTAAAAGTTGCAGCATCTGCACCGCCTAGTATTTCCGTGGGCCGAGATGCAAAGGAACCGTTAGTGACGACGTCCTCTTGGCTTGCGTGGGATGATGCCTGCGCTAGTAGAGTGACGGCTACTGAATTTTCCTGCTGTGACTTGCATTCTGCTGTTGCAGCCTTCCGAGTTAAGTTACCTTGTACTAGCTTAGTATCCTGACTTACAGAACACGGTATATACTTGACTATATTGCTCTTCTGTGTCAGGTCATCTCTGGTCACCACAGCTGCCTGACTCACAGGACAGGTCATCTCCATGTCAGTACTGACCTTCTGTGTAAGGTCATCTCTGGTCACCACAGCTGCCTGACTCACAGGACAGGTCATCTCCATGTCAGTACTGACCTTCTGTGTAAGGTCATCTCGGGTCACCACAGCTGCCTGACTCACAGGACAGGTCATCTCCATGTCAGTACTGACCTTCTGTGTAAGGTCATCTCTGGTCACCACAGCTGCCTGACTCACAGGACAGGTCATCTCCATGTCAGTACTGACCTTCTGTGTAAGGTCATCTCTGGTCACCACAGCTGCCTGACTCACAGGACAGGTCATCTCCATGTCAGTACTGACCTTCTGTGTAAGGTCATCTCTGGTCACCAAAGCAACCCGACTCACAGGACAGGTCATCTCCATGTCAGTACTGACCTTCTGTGTAAGGTCATCTCTGGTCACCACAGCTGCCTGACTCACAGGACAGGTCATCTCCATGTCAGTACTGACCTTCTGTGTAAGGTCATCTCGGGTCACCAAAGCAACCCGACTCACAGGACAGGTCATCTCCATGTCGGTACCGACCTTCTGTGTCAGGTCATCTCGGGTCACCACAGCTGCCTGACTCACAGGACAGGTCATCTCCATGTCGGTACTGACCTTCTGGGTTAGGTCATCTCGGGTCACCACAGCTGCCTGACTCACAGGACAGGTCATCTCCATGTCGGTACTGACCTTCTGGGTTAGGTCATCTCGGGTCACCACAGCTGCCTGACTCACAGGACAGGTCATCTCCATGTCGGTACTGACCTTCTGTGTAAGGTCATCTCGGGTCACCAAAGCAACCTGACTCACAGGACAGGTCATCTCCATGTCGGTACTGACCTTCTGGGTTAGGTCATCTCGGGTCACCACAGCTGCCTGACTCACAGGACAGGTCATCTCCATGTCGGTACTGACCTTCTGGGTTAGGTCATCTCGGGTCACCACAGCTGCCCGACTAGTTGGAAACATTGTTCCTACATCCGCACCTTTGTGCATTTCATCTGAAAGAAATTAAAAATCAAGGCTTAATCATATTTTTTCCATTAAAATACACTAACAGCATCTGTAATTAACCAGATAAGTTTCAACATCATAGGGAAAGTGAAGAAAGAAAATTGTGGGGAGCATATTGCTCAGAAGGAACTAGTGAGAGACTAGCACAAACACTGCGCACAGTAATGATAATATTGTGCACGCACAGAACAGGGAGGGGAAGTGCATCCACGTGTATACAAGTAGTGTCGATTGGCTTGTTACTAAAATATTAGGCACCATAATAACAAAGTCTAGGATAATCAAATAACTATAGTTAGTATTTAGCCACTATGCCCTGGGACTAGAGAGGAAAGGGGAATTATCCACGACATACTAGCAGCTGCGTCAAACAGTCTGGTTGACCAGTCTAGCAACAAGGAGGCCTGGTCGACGACCGAGCCGCAGGGACGCCAAGCCCCAGAAACACTTCAAGGTAATAAACCAGTATGTTCTAGATCATCCAGGGAAGGGGTTGGTGGTGGTGAAGGTGATGGTGCAGGTGAAGGGCTTGTTACAGGTGAAGTGGTCGGTGGTGGTGGTACTTGGATTGTACCTGGATGATGATCTGGGAATAATTCTACTCTCCAAGCATGCCCAGGGCTTGGCTTGGCTTGGCTTGCGAGAGCTTGATCCAACAGGTTGTTGCTTGGAGCGGCTTGCAGGCCCACATATCTACTAGACCATTTGCTCTGCCACTTCTTGCAGAAATCTGTTGTTATTTTACTGTGTAAATTTGGGATCCGGCCTACCAGTATTTTCCATGTATTATTTGATACCCCTTTCATCTCCTATCTAGATATTAGATTTAAGAGCTTTCAGATGATCCCAATAATTTAGGCGCTTTATCATGTGTGTGTGTGCTGTATATGTTCTCTGTATTCCCTCTATTTCATCACTCTCTCTTTCCCTGAAGTGGGAAGAGAGTATTGAGCAGTGCTCAAGATGGGACAAGACCAGTGATTTGAATAGTATGAGCACTGATGGGATCCCTGGATTTGAAGGTTCTTGTAATCCATCCTATCATTTTTCTAGCCGACGCAAAATTCGTTTGGTTATGCTCTATAAATGTAAAGTTGTTAAAACATCATTATTCCCAGATTCTTTACATGTTTTCCTACTACAGGGCAGAGTTGATAGTGTTTTGTACCCTGTTTTTGTTTAAGGTCTTCATTTTTACTATACATTTAAGTACAGTACCTAGAATTTATCACTTAATGTTATTTTCTGCTGCCCAATCAAAAACTTTATTAATAAACAGCTTGCAGTTTTTTCAATGTCTTCTACAGAAGTCATTTTCATGCTGATTTGTATGTCTTTGGGAGTTTTGGAGTTCTTCTACAATCACTACATTTAGAATTTCTATTTTGGTTATCAGCACTTTCACCATATCATTTGTGGTGTTTAGCAGCTCTGTGCAGATGAGTGTCTTTGATGCACAGACTGACCCCACCCTGTAGCCTGTGTTTCCTGTCACATCTGAAAAGATTGTACTCCGGTATCCATATTTCACTGTCATAATAGTCCTTAGTGCGAGTTTCAATTAAAGCTACGAACATTGCATTTACCTCATTTAAGAGACCAGTTATAAAGTGGATTTTGTTTGTATTGAGTGTTTTGGTATGTTTTATGTTGGAAAATATGAAAGATGTGGTATTTGTGGAAGTGATGGGTATTGTACTTTATGTTAGCATCTGTGGGTCAGGTAAGGCTGCCTCATTATCTGTGTAATGTTTAGCATCAGACAGTTGACAGTGTTGGGACATTTCTTGCCATTCTTTCTCTTTCTCTTACTAAAAATCTCCCTGGAATGTATGGGTGTTGCTGTATTCATAATAGCACTTCTGATTTTATTTGCTTTGTTCCTTTGATATGAAAATCTAGGCATTGTTAAAACACTCTTTGGGTAGCGAATTTTTACACAGTTCTGGATGGAAGTAATTGCAGTTATCAGCAACACATTCCTATATTTCTGTATATCTGCAGTTTCTTTGGTGATTATACTGGCATGTTCCATATGTTCTTCCTGACGGCCCATATTTAGGCACACGTCGCGTGTAACACCGGTAGGCTTCACGTTCATGCTTCATTTGCTTGTCATGGTTTATTGCCACTGCACTGTCATACAAAGGCCAGACCTGAGCCAGAGCCCTCAAAGCAAAAGCCAGACCTGAAGCATACATGCAGAGGGGTTTCAAGAATTCTACTCTCCGAGTCCAGCCTGGCGCCTGGCACGACTTGTGATAACTTGGTCCAACAGGCTGTTCCTTGAGCGGCCAGCTGGCCCACATATCATCCACTACAACCAGGTTGGTTAAGACTTCCACTTTTGTTCCAGCAATATTTTGAAACTTTCTGGGAGTATTAAACAGCCGTGGACCCCAGATGTTCAGGCAGTCCTCTCAGATTGTGCCTATGACACCTCTACTCCTCAATGGTTCTATTCTGCACTTTCTTCTATACCTTTTGCTCCAGTATGTTGTTATTCTATTGCGCAAATTTGTGACCTGGCCCTCCAGTATCTTGCATGTACTGTGTATATTATGACGCCTCTCGTCTCCTTTCCAGGGTACATTTTGAGAGCTTTGGGAAGGTCTCAATAATTTAGGCATTCCATTGTGTCTATGTGTGCCGCATATGTTCTCTGTATTCCCTCCATTTAAAAAATCTCTCCTGCTCCGAAAAGGGAAACGAGTACTGAGCAGCACTCAAGATGGGTAAAGCAATGGATTTGAGCACTCTCATAATCCATTATATCACTTTTGTGGCTGCTGCT